GGACGAAGAAGAAGGAGGAAAGAAGAAGCCTGAAGAAGAAAAGAAGAAGAAGAAGAAGAAGAAGAAGAAGAAGAAGACAGAAGAAGAAGAAGAAGAAGAAGAAGAAGAAGAAGAAGAAGAAGAAGAAGAAGAAGAAGAAGAAGAAGAAGAAGAAGAAGAAGAAGAAGAAGAAGAAGAAGAAGAAGAAGAAGAAGAAGAAGAAGACGAAGAACAGGACATGAGAGACAAATGTGAAATGGACTAAAAAAGAAGTGAACCCAAACTAATGAGCTTTTGTCAATGGATGGCATGACAAAATGGAGGAGGGATATTAAAAAGACAAACATTACTAAGAGCTTCGAAGTATAGGTAGTAGGGGAGAGCCATGATCACCCTCGTCCTGAAGTAACAGGGTAGATATAGGAACATTTCCTCTTATGCCTCGTTTGTACTTATTACATGTTTTTAGCTTCTTTTATTATTTATTTCTTTTTAAATAAAGGTAAAATTATTTGGAAAATAGTAAGATATTAAGAGACCACAAATTTACATTGCCATTAGAGCTTTGGAAATCGACGCACAGATACTATACCGATCCTAGGTAGAGGAATGGGAACTGACACTGAATATAACGCACATACTACACTGATCCTAAGAATAATGCTAGAAATCGACCTAATGATACTGGACTAAACTGATCCTGGGCAGAGAACCGGGGAAGCAACACTGTATTCCTATGCAGATTGCACAGATACTACACTTGTCCTGAGCAGAGCACTGGTGAGTATCACTTTAATTCTATGTAGACAGCACAGAGATTACATTTAATCTGGTCAGAGGACCGGGGAATAACATTTAATCCTATGCAAAATGCACAGATACTACACTGATCCCAGGTAAAGACTGGGCTACCAAACTTTAATCCTAAGCAGAATGCACAGACACTACATTGATCCCAGGTAAAAGACTGGGCTACAAAATTTAATCCTATGCAGAATGCACAGATACTACATTGATCCCAGGTAAAAGACTGGGCTACAAAATTTAATCCTAAGCAGAATGCACAGATACTACATTGATCCCAGGTAAAAGACTGGGCTACAAAACTTTAATCCTAAGCAGAATGCACAGATACTACACTGATCCCGGGCAGCGCACCGGTGAGTATCACTTTAATCTTACGTAGGCAGTACAAAGACAACACTTAACCTGATTTGAGAACCGGAGAAAATCATTTAATCCTAAGCAGTATGCACAGATACTATACTGATCCTGTATAGGGGACCGGTGAGCAACACTTTAATGCTAAGGAGAGTGCCTAGTTTTTACACTCTGGTCCTAGGCATTTGGCTTAATCATTTTCTAAGCAAAGCTTAGATGTGAGATAAGGCTGAAAGTATGGCCACCTAGTGAGGGCCGAGCTCATTACTCAGTCGTAATTGTTCTAGCGAGACAAACTCGTTAACCATTACACCATTACGAGTACCCACGGCAGTAGGCAAAAAAGCTACATCGAAACTAACAATGATACTACATTGTTGTTTGGTTTACGCGTGTATCTACTATCAAAATTACGCTTATTCTTTTTTTACGAGTATTATACATACATACATATATACATACATATATATATATATATATATATATATATATATATATATATATATATATATATATATATATATATAAACTTCATACGTAAAAATCTTCGCGTAGTTGTATTGGCTTAACTAAATATGCAATATGGCGTGGGTTAACTAAGTTTGGCATAGAATATATAAAATGGTTATTTAAAATAAGGGAAAAAAGTCTTATTTCCTGCTAATGGAATATATTCAAGGGTGATGTGATAATTCAAAACGTAGAGTGTGGTCTTTTCACACATCTTGTAGATTGACTTAAGAGGTTATTAAACTTATACCTTACCTTCACAAACGTCTTCTACCTGTTCTTATAATTAATTTTAGAGTTTTTCTTTTACTTTTTCGATAATTCTTTTTCTTTTTCATCGTGTTCATTTTTCTTCCTGCTATGCTTAATGTTCGTCGTTCCATTTAGCTTCCTTTCTTTTATTTTTCCATTTTTTTTTTACTTCATTTTCTCTCTTGAAAGATATTTTTTTCTTTATCGTCTGCCATCTGAGCTATTTTCTCTTCCAAATCATTCTTTTTCTCTTTTCTCGTCGTATTTATTCTTCTGCTCTTCTTTCTTTGATTTCTCTCACTCTTTTGTCTACTGCGATTTTCAAAAAGGAAATATATATTTCCGCGTATAAGGTGATCTTTAGATAAGACGAACTAAAGGAATATTGCAAATTTTCATAATTTTATTCAATACCTGTACTATAAGATGACTGCTTATTGATTACATAAAGAGGATATTATTGGAAATGTTGTTATATCCTGTATCCTTAGAAATTCAAAATCAACGAAATAACAAAACCAATTCTGTATCTGGTTTTTCCTAGACAGGTTACCTAAAAGAGAAACCATTGTTTTGTTTACGTTTCATCACGTGATCTCCTGCAAATAATGGTTCTTCTTCTCCTTCTTCTTTTCCTGTATTTAAACAGTTACAAACAGCCTGGTGCACTAATGGCCATTTACTTATACTTCATCGACAATCGCAAAATACCACGATAATGTACAACAGTATATTCCATTGCTTTGAACGCAATCATAACTCGATGTTTGCATTTTCTCAGCTGGGCTTGCATGGATACAAGTTGATTTCATTGATATGAACTTATTCTTCGAATAGGCAATATATTATGAAGTTATTCCTGCAATCTATGAGATAGAATTTTTTTTTTACTTTTATTATCAGTTTATTTGATAATGAGAATATTTTCATGTACGTTATCTCACCGACAAACATCACTCAGAATTTAAGGTTTCTCTTTTAGAATTGTAGTATAAGACGACCCCCAATTTTTAAGGGTGATTTTGTGGATTTAAAGGTCGTTTTATACGCGGAAATATACGGTATATATTTTTTAACATATTAAAGTAATTTTGTCCATCAACATCTATCTATATTTATGAGATAAAGTATTATAACTATTTACATTATTAACATTGTTCAGACTGTTGTCCTAATCTTTATTGTCATATTCACGATGTTTCGACTGTTTTAAACTCCGGTCTTCTTCAGCAGATATACGTTGGAATTTCGAACCGAAACTTTTCTTTCGTCCTTTGGAGTAGATTATTCTATTTGCATGACCCATACTTTTTTTTTATTTTTTTATTTTTTATTTTTTTAAATCTCAATTTCAATTGTTTCCATTTCGTAACTCCAACTTTTTTTCACCTCTGCTGTGGCCAGGCATTGAACTCACAAGTCTTTCGGTCGAATCACTGGATTACTTCAACCAACGCTTTTATCCACTGGGCAATTTGTCCATGAAGAAGACCGCAAAGTATAACAGCCGAAACGTCGTGAAGATAAAGACAACAATCCCAACAATGTAATAATGTACTGTATATACTCGTATAACACGCGATCTCGCGTGTCGTGCAACCCACAAATTTTCACTTATAAAAAATGATTTCATCATGTATCCCGTGTATCATGCGAGTTTCTTTTTTGAGAGACTAAATTACAATAGACTAACCTCTTTTCCTCCGTCTCTTTATCGCATCTTCTAGTCAAATAAGTAAAAGAAAATGATAAACGTATCTTTAGTAACGCTATACTCGTTGCGTAAACGCGTACAGCCATGAACAATCGAACGAGAAACAGCTAAACATCTTAGAAATGTAAACACTGGAAAAGATGCATATTCGCCATGTTTATATTTTATAATACGATACTAATATGTGAATATTACATGCATTATTATAGGATACAGTTAGTTAAGTAAAACATTAGTTTTATCAAAATCATGTTAATTTTAAATACCGCTGTATTTTTTTACTACAGTAAATGGATATATAGTTTGGTCAACGGCGTAGCCAGGTCCAGCAGTCAATCAATTATGTGCCATGCGTGATACATGCTTAGGAGATCATGAATCTTTCGATACATGACTGACGAGGCAGATTTTTCCTGCAGTAGGTTGTCATTTGTTTCTGCGGTAGATCAGTTACCATCCAAGGTTATAGAACCCATAGCTGGGGGAGGAGAAGAAGAGTATTCATAACTTTCCCAAGGGTATTAGCACGTAAGTGAATCTAATGGATTCGACTGGAATTCGAACTCGAGCCGTTTAGGTACCGGCCAGGCTCGACGTTGTTTAATTTCGATGGTCGTTATGAAACCGGTGTTCAATCCGAGCCGCTATCCATTACTCAACCGGGCCAGCAGTACATTCGCTAATTTTATATTTCATGTATGATGTGACCACTTTAAAATTACATTCAAAATTAGGTCTTCAAAAATCGCATAATACGCGAGTATATACGGTAGTATTTTTTTTTTACATATTTAAATTGTTTTTCATATTTTTATTTCTCATCCTTTCCTCTTTCTTTTTATTTCGTCTTTTATCACCCTTTATCATATATTTTTATCACCCTTTCTCACATATTTTTATCACCCTTATATCGTACATTTTTATCACCTTTTATCATATATTTTATCACCCTTTATAATTTTATCACCCTTTATCAAATATTTTTATCACCCTTATATAATATATTTTTATCACACTTTATCATATATTTTTATCACCCATTATCATATTTTATCACCCTTATATTATTATATTTTTATCACACTATCATATATTTTTATCACCCTTTATCAAATATTTTTATCACCCTTTATCAAATATTTTTATCACCCTTATATCATATATTTTTATCACCCTTAATCATATTTTATCACCATTATATCATATATTTTTATCACCCTTTATCATATATCTTTATCACCCTTATATCATATATTTTTATAACACTTTATCAAATATTTTCTAATACACTGCTCTACTCCTGTGTATCAAACACAAATGACGCCATGATTAACAAGGTACCTATTTGGTATGCTACACTTATAATTATTCAAAGCACCGGAGCTTACGGCCACATCACGTTGAAATACCAGTTTCCGTACTATCACCGAAGTTAAACAACGTCGAGCCTGGCCGGTACCTAGATGGGTGACTGGTTGGGAAGACCAGGTGCTGTAAGCTTGGATGTGTAGGTGGTTTAATATATAATGTCTCAGAATTGTTAATCGAGTAACTGTGTTCCAATTCCAGTTGGGTTCGTTATATTCACTTACGCGCAAATACCCTTGGAAAATGTATGAATACACCACTTCTCCCCAGCTATGGGTTAATTAGTAATATTTGTATTACTAAAACCATTATTATCTAAAAAAATAAATAAATAAAATTCCATAAAAATATTTAGATTTCGGCATTAAGTTTCCCATGGAAGTGTTGAAAAACAAAAAAATAAAACAAAAAAAAAAACAACGATATTCAAATAAAAATCTTAAAAAATTGGTTACTTATTTTAGTGAATCGTTTAACTTAGAATTATTTCACTCTGGCGTAACCAATGTATCATTTAAACACAAATTAACCGTAAATAATCCACAGTGCTTTTTTTTTTATAGCGATCTAATTCTATTGTGATTTACACAAGAGGCGAAGTAATCCTAAGTAACATGATTAATCTCTACTGAGTGATAATCTGTTATTGCTCAAACCATCCACTGAAAGAATTTTCCTTTATTTCAAAATGACTCCTATTCAAAATATAGAAGAAGAAAGCCAGAAAATGCAGGTCACATCAGCAAGATCATTGAGTAATATTGAAATGCTGAAAATCGTTTTTCTCTACAAATTATAATAATGATTTAAAATCAATCATCATTTTCTTACAAGCAAAATGTGTGACACGCAGTGAGGCGCGGGTAATTCGGCTAGTATTGAATATATTCTAAAGTACTAAGACTATTTTTATTCACGCAGGAAGCGAACTAATCCTTTTAAGTAACGTGATTATTCTCTACTAAATGATAAGCTGCTTTTTCGCAAACCCCACACTGAAAGCATTTTTTTTCTTTTGATTCAAATTAAATTTGAACAAGGGAATGATTCCTATCCAAAATATAGAAGGAGAAATCCAGAAGATGGAGGTCACATCGGCAGGATTATTGAGAAATACTGAAATGAATCATTTTTCTCCACAAGTTATAATAATGATTTAAAATCAATCATCATTTTCTTACAAGCGAAATGTATGATACGCAGCAAGGCGCGGTTAATTCGGCTAGTATTGGGGACATTCTTAGGTCATGCTACACTGTTCTCCTGCTATATATTTCGAGGTTCATGACAAAATCCAGAGAAGGATCTGTAATGTAATAGATCCTGACCTGGCATCTCTACTTCAGTCACTTTCACACCCACGTGATGTGACTTCCCTCTATCTTTTATAAAAAATCTATGGTAATTGTTCTGATGAGATTTCCTCCTTGGTGTCTCGACTACATGAATTTAATCATACTACTATATTGGCAATTAGGTCCCGCCGTTTTACCGCCGAACTAGCTAGATTTAAACGCGTGTTCTATTCTAATAGTTTCTTTTCTCGCACTTCTCACTTGTGGAATCTCCATTCTGATTTCTTGCTTCCATGCCAGTTACAGTCTTCAAAAATTAAAATGCAAATCCAGTCGCTATTATCTGTCTTCTTGGAATGTGTTCTTTTATTGTTCTTTCTTCTCAATATTTTTTTTGTATTTTTACCCATTGAGTCTTAGTGGTATTATTGGGGCGAAATTATGAAAGTGATGTGTAATTTGCTACTTTATTTCAAATAATTTTCATCACGATGCGATTATGTGGATTAAAGAATCTCAGCGGAATGTTTATTTGAACCGCCAGTCTTATTAGCTGAAAAATTCTCACCGGCTTGCCTATTCCAGATGGCACTTGTATTTTGGTATGAATTATTAGGTTGTCCCAAAAGTTCGTAAACACTTGCAAAAAATTGAAATTTTACTCGCCAAGTAATAACAAAAACAACAAAAATTATTCCTCAAAATAAAGACCATCATTTTCCAAGACTTTCTGCCATCGATCTGCAAGCTTTCGGATCTGGTGAAAGTACCATTCAGCCGGCTTCGAACCAAAGAATTCTTGATACGCTTCCTCGACTTCATCAAACGAGTCGAATCGGCGGCGCTTCAGAAAATGTTGCATTGAGCGGAAAAGGCCGTAATCTGATGGAGCACAGTCAGGACTGTAGGCTGGATGTGTCAGAACCTCAACGCCGTCCAGCTCTTCAAACTTGTCTTTGGTCTTCCTGGCGGTGTGTGGCTTGGCATTGTCCTGCTGCATCAAAGCACGCTTTCGGTTGATCAGAGCCGGGTACTTTTGCTTCAACTTTTCGTAAACCCGCTTCAGTTACTGACAGTAAAGTTCGGCACTGATGGCACGATCATTCGGAACCAACTCAAAATGCACGATTCCTTCAAAGTTCCACCAAACGCACAACGTGACTTTCTTGCTGAATCGATCTTGTTTTGGAACCGACGGTGTCTCTTGCCCTTTCTGAACCCATCGCCTGTCTCGATTGTGCTGGACCAGATAAACCCATTTCTCGTCCGATGTCACAATGCGCTTTCAAAAACGCTCGTCCACTGGATTACTGAGCAATTGACGGCAAATTTCAACTCGTCTGTTGGCTTGTGCTTCGGTGAGTTCGTACGGATCTTGGCGCGGCTTTTTGTGAACAAAATCAAGTTGCTTCAAGTGTCGGTGAATTGTCGATTTGCCAACTTCAAGCTCATCAGCCAATTCTCGAGTGTTCGATGAAGGCACAATGTTCAACCCGGTTTGCAAGTCTCCATCATCCAACTTTAACGGCCGTCCCGAACGAGGCTTATCGTCAAGACTCATGTCGCCAGAATCGAAACGCTTATACCACTTTGAGATCGCCCGCATATGCAATTGTTCCTTCACCTTCGGCAGCACAAATCTCTTCTGCAGTTTTTTTCTGGTTGAAAGACCTCGCTTCCAGCAGTAACGAATCAAAACTCGCAGCTCAATTTTATCAATTGCCATCTGGAATACAAAAATGAAGATCACTATAACAATATAAACGCAAAAATCAATTAAATAAAAATTTTAATGAAATAAAATTTTTTCAACATTATCAAAATTAACAATAAAGTAAAAAAAAAAAACAATTAAAAATTGCATAAAAATTTAGTTTTTCGCAAGTGTTTACGAACTTTTGGGACAACCTAATATTACATTGCTTTGGACATTGTCTTTCCATTTTCGTCATCATGTTTTCTTATCACTCTTTCTTTCACATCTTTGTTTTGTAAGTCCTCTTCTTTTTCTTTTTTCTTATCTTTCATTCTTTCTTTTTTCTTTTTTTCGTTCTTACTTATCCATCACTTTCTGATATTTTACCCACCATTAACAACTTTTCTTCTTCTTCTTCTTCTTCTTCTTCTTCTTCTTTCTTTCTTTCTTTCTTTCTTTCTTATTACTTTTCAAATCTTCCTCGCCATCATTTCGTTCTTTTATTACCCTTATTGCTTTCTTCTCTTGTTCAATGTCAAAACGAGGCTTTACAGCCAGATTTGTGAAACTTTTCCAGTAAGTAGGCGTCGATACAAGAAACCAAGTACACACACACACACATACACACACACACACATATACGCACACACATGCACACACATACGTATGATACATTTGATGATTCAAAGATGAACTGAGCGAAAATAAATCTCTAAAGCAGTATAAAAAGTTAAAAGCTTTTAAAACGAGGCTAATTACGGCAATAAACATCTCACTTCGAATTTACAAAACAAACAATACATTTACGTAAATGTTTCTGGTTCTAAATATGTCTTTCTTTTCAATTTTCCTCGTTACCCACATTTTCAGTCCAAAGCATTCTCATCCTCTTTCTGTAGAACCACATTTCTTTTGCCTCAAGTCTCTTCGTCATTGTCTAGCATTCACTACCGTACAGCAGGATGACCATTATCACATAACAGTTCGGCATTTACTTTCTATCTTTCTAAACGAAATTTTCCTCTTGCCTCTTGCTTAGCTTTGGAAGGCATATTTCGATATTTCAGCGAGCCTTCGGATTTCAGTGTGACATTTTCCATCCCCTGTTAGAACACTTTCCAGATATTAAAATTTTCGTAATTGCTCGATTTCGACACCTTAAATCCTTAGTCCTCATCTTGGAATATCCCTGTGGCTTATAACTATATACTCTGTCTTCTTATAATTAATGCTTAGTCCTTTCTTCTAACTTTCCTTTATTACATTCGCTAGAAGGTTTGCAGTTTCTTTTCTGTTTTTGCTATCAACACGTAGTTAGCCATATATCTTATTTTTGTCAGAATACACACACACACACGCACGCACACACACACACAATAATATATATATAGATATATAGATATATATATATATATATAAATATATATATATATTTGTATGTATGTATAAATTCTAAGTACTTTTCAGTAGAAATCTACAATTATTCCGATTTTTAATTTGGTGAAAATTTCAGGCCGTAAGTTGATAATTTGGGAAGAAGCCATAATTGCACTTTCAAGAACTTTTCGTATAACATAGTTAGATGAAAGGTTCTTGAAATTGAAATTACTGATTCTTTTTTTTTTTATATATATATCTCCGTTTTTTAAAGAAGTACTCTTTTCTCAAGCCAACGTAATAATGCATGACTATATATTTCTTTAAAATTTACAGAGGACTGTTAAATCACGTTCTTTTAAATCAAAGTAAATAAACAGAAATAAAATAAAAATAGATAAATAAATAATAATTATATAAGACAAAATGATTAAAAAAATCGATGAAAACAACTAACTTTCATTTAATTGGGCCGAAAAATTACGCCACTGAGCGCCGTCAATTGTTTATGCAGTAAGTTTTAAGAATATTATGAAGCGTTCCCTAATTTAAAATTTGAAAACTTTATCTTATCTTATTTAGATTTTTCTCCGCCTACTTCTGTGTATAAACGCTGGTTACCAAATAAGCTTTCTACATTTGTCTTAATAAAGTACGAAAGGCTTGTGTTTTCTTATACACACTTATATAGTTACTTCTTCTTATTCCTTATGGAACATTGGGCTCATTTTTGACGCCGGAAACGAAGAAAAACTGACCAAG